ATTACTAAAAATCCCTAGGAAACAAGCTCCTTCTACAAGGAAATCTTAAGTGCACATTATGAAACAAGGAAGCCTTGATCAAATAAGGTTTCCTCCAACAAGGCTTCCTCAATCCTTAAAATAAGAGTCATTTATGAATACGGGCATAAGGACAAGGAGCGCTCCGGAAGACCAAAAACATTTGAGAACGCCGATCTGCAAACGTTATTGGATGAAGATGATACGCAAATACAAGATCAACTTGCGGAGGCATTAAACATTCGCCAAGGTATTTCCAAACGTTTACATGCCATGGCAAAAATTCAAAAGGAAAATGGGTACCGCATGAGTTGACAGATGACAAATCGAAGAGCCACTTCCGAAATTTTGCTTTTGCGGCATGAAAGAAAAAGTTTCCTGCATCGAATTGTTACTGGCGATGAGAAGTGGATATATTTCGAGAATCCCAAACGCAAAAAATCGTGGCTTTCACCTGGCGAAGCATCAACATCGACGGCACGGCCAAATCGCTTCGGAAAGAAGACAATGCTCTGCGTTTGGTGGGACCAGGAAGGAATCGTGTACTATGAGCTGCTGAAACCGGGTGAAACTGTCAATGGGCTACCGACAACAACTGATCAATTTGAACCATGCATTGCTCGAAAAACGACCAGAATGGGACACGAGACACGAATGAGTGATATTGCAGCACGACAACGCTCCGTGTCATCGCACTTCCATCGTCCAGGACACAATCAAAACGCTGAAATGGGATCTGCTACCGCATCCGCCGTATTCATCAGACCTTCCCTTATAGAAATATCATACTAAGAATCATTGATTAATTACTTATTTTCAGTATTAAAAGTACAGTATTTAGTAATATTCTGTGATTCAAATACAGCTTTTAGTACTCAAACATTTCAATATTTAATGTTACAAATCCTACCTTATGATTGATTTCAATACTTAAAAATTGATATGTAATACTTCGTCCAGTGATAAAATACTTACGCAGAACATTGTCAATATTTAAATA